GACAGTAATGAAACTTTTAACCAAGGCATGTATACTATTTTATTTACAATCATTCGAATTTTGTAATCTTTATTTCAATGAAAACTAAAAAAATACAATAAATTTCAACAATTTTACTTACGGCCCACGGGCGGAAAGTGAACTTTCAACCCGAGGGTGAAAAGTAAAAGTCAAAGTGACATTTTCAAACTTTTTAAAAGTCAGAAAAGTCAACATTACATGTATGATTGTGAATAAAATGTTTTTTTTCTACTCCCGTGCGTGAAGTACTCACTTTACGCACTATTCAGAAGATGTAAAATTCCACTTCTCGCACTAGTGCGTAAAGTAATTCACTTCACACACTAGTGCGTAAAGTAATGTCAATGACAGATGTTGACAACTGTCAATTTAGTATTTTTCTGGTAAATTACTTCACGTACTAGTGCGTAAAGTGAAAATACTTCACGCACTAGTGCGTGAAGTATTCTTCTAAATCTATTTTTTAAACATATTTGATTGGTAGTAGAAAAAAATTTGTATGCAATACGTGCGTAAAGTAATTCACTTCAAACACTAGTGCGTAAAGTAATGTCAATGACAGATGTTGACAACTGTCAATTTAGTATTTTTCTGGTAAATTACTTCACGTACTAGTGCGTAAAGTGAAAATACTTCACGCACTAGTGCGTGAAGTATTCTTCTAAATCTATTTTTTAAACATATTTGATTGGTAGTAGAAAAAAATTTGTATGCAATACGTGCGTAAAGCTCCTTTTTTACTCATGTGATTGTCGGTCAAAATTCACATTCGTGAAAAATGGTTCACTTTACACACTTGTTGCATGAATAGCTATTTTATCTTGAATAGGCAAGCGAAAGTGAAAGTAATGAAAGGCATATTTGACTTTCGCTTTCGCTTGTCTATTCAAGATAAAAAAATGTTTATTTTGAACCACTTTACGCATTATTCAGAAGATGTAAAATTCCACTTCTCGCACTAATGCGTAAAGTAATTCACTTCACACACTAGTGCGTAAAGTAAGGTCAATGACAGATGTTGACAACTGTCAATTTAGTATTCTTCTGGTAAATTACTTCACGTACTAGTGCGTAAAGTGAAAATACTTCACGCACTAGTGCGTGAAGTATTCTTCTAAATCTATTTTTTAAACATATTTGATTGGTAGTAGAAAAAAATTTGTATGCAATACGTGCGTAAAGCTCCTTTTTTCACTCATGTGATTGTCGGTCAAAATTCACATTCGTGAAAAATGGTTCACTTCACACACTTGTTGCATGAATAGCTATTTTATCTTGAATAGGCAAGCGAAAGTGAAAGTAATGAAAGGCATATTTGACTTTCGCTTTCGCTTGTCTATTCAAGATAAAAAAATGTTTATTTTGAACCATATATGTAATTTTCACCTTTCTTACTGGTTTGCCTGGAGAATTCACTTTCCGCCTGATAAATTGTTTTTTCAAACTTAAACACAAATTCAGGTGCAATGTTTGTATTTAGAAATAGATGTCACATGTGTTATATCATTATCATATTGTTATTGTTGAAATTTCATAAGATGTCAATTCGGTCTCAGAGTGTCAGTCGAAATTTCATTTTTGTCATATTTTTACCTACCTTATTTTTTATCAATAATTAATGGTTCAAAATAAAATAGTATACATAGTATCTCTTGACAATAATGAAACACTTTCTACCTCCGTATGTAATATACTATTATTTTAAACTATATATGTAATTTTCATATTTCCTACTGGTTTGAAGGTTCGATAATGTCACTTTACTTTTGTTTACTTTGCAGCAGGCCGAAAGTGACAGTTCTCCTGTCAATTTCGGCCTGGAAAATTCACTTTCGGCCTGCTAAATTGTTCTTTCACACCTAAACACAAATACAGGTGCAATGTTTGTATTTAGAAGTAGATGTCACATGTGTTTATATTGTTGAAATTTCATAAGATGTCAATGTCGGTGTTAGATTGTCAGTCAAAATTCCATTTTTGTCATATTTTTACCTTATTTCTTTTTCAATAATTAATGGATCAAAATAAAATAGTATACATATTTCGGTGGAAAGTTTTCACATATTGTCTCGAAAATAGAAAGAATAGTATCTCTCGACAATAATGAAATACTTTCCACCTCCGCATGTAATTTACTATTTCCTGAGGGGAACAATAAAAAGTTTGATACATTACACGCTGCAAAAGCCCTTTTAGGTGCTCGGAGGTATTCAAAAAGCCGAGGCTGCGCTTCGGTTCGCCTCGGCTATTTGAATACACGCACCTAATAGTACGCTTTCGCAGCTTGGAATGTGAATAACTATTTAGGTGTTCGGAGGTATTAAATACACCTCGCACCTAAAAGTGCGCTTTGGCAGCTTGGAATGTAAATAACTATAGTTGAATTAATTTCAATTCTTGATATCGTGGATTCGTAGCTATTTCCAGACACACAATTAGTTCTTCTTCTCACTAATTTCATAGTGCCGTAAAAAAATGAGATTTTTTTTGTTTCATCCCGAAAAGGAAGGCAAGAAGGTTTTTTTCTGAAAATTCCATTAGTCGAGCGTGTACCTGAGAGATACATGCTTAATATTTTTGCAAATAAATCAAAAAGGAAAAACCCTATAATATTATGGCTTGTATTAGTCCTTAGGTACCCTATACTAATTACTTTCCCAAAATTACATGGTCATACCTATACTTGGAAATTTGGAATTTCCAAAAAACTAGGGGTGGGCTCGGCTTTGTATTGATACAACGCAACTTTTCTTGCTACCATCGGTGCTCCTCAATTCACAATTGTAAATGTTTTCTTGATATTTTTTTTACATAAATATTATGGTACAAAAGGCTGTTCATCTTAGGTGAAGATGGAACTCGATGAGACAAAATTCCTCCCAAGCTGACTCGGAAGAGACCACGTAATATTATGGTAAAGTTGCCGGGCGTTGTTGGCCAAACTGCAACGACTGCGAAAACAGAATCCAACTTCTAGATCTCTTTTTCAGTAAAAAGTGATTGTTGAGTACACGAATAAATACATAGAAATTGTAACACCGAAATTCATCAGATGGTTCAATTTTTTTATCAATGATTTAGTACATGTATCTCTGTGATACACCGCGACTAATAATGTTATAAAAACTCGCGCGCCTAATGGAAGGTTAATTAATAACAATATTTGTTTATTTATATTTTGGGCTAGGATAAAGATTCAGACTTGCGGTTTTCACCAGATTACTTATTTTTCCATCCTCTTTCCATCTATATTATAAAAAAAAACATCATTATATTTGAAATTTTCGAGAAAAAATGGAAAATTGTCGACTTTTGGACTTAGCGCCCCCTAGCGGCAACAAAACAATTTAATTTTGTTATTTTTGTTATGCATTTTATTAAACAAAAAAAAACTCTTTCAAATGACACCCGGATCATTGAAATCGGTTGAAAAACAAAAAAGTTATATAGCTTTTGTTCCTAACAAGTTTGAACCTTCCCCCACCTTTTATTTGAATAGTTAGGGCAAAAAATCCTTAACAAAATTTTTTCGTAATCTTATCAAGATTTCAATAATCATATTTTTGGGATACCTTTAGTGGGCGTCTTTTGAAGATAATCACAGTATTATGTTTTCGAGTGTTCGTTGCGCCCCCTAGCGGTCAACTTACAAAGTTGAAAACTATTTCCAGCAATTTTTCATGGCCTATTTTATCAAAAATTTTTTTACTTGGAAGCTCTAGGACTAATAGTTCCTGAGATATAGCCGGCGTCCTTTCTTATTTGGACACCCGGTACAAACAAGGAAACATTACAGAAGACAGAAGTGGAATATTGCGTGTGGCGGAAAATTTCTATAAGGAACTATACGACGCAAAAAGCAACAACGAAAATAACAAACAAGAAACCGAAAGCGAAACATCCAAAATTCTAAATGTTGACTTGTATTAGTCCTTAGGTACCCTAAACATTACAGAAGACAGAAGTGGAATATTGCGTGTGGCGGAAAATTTCTATAAGGAACTATACGACGCAAAAAGCAACAACGAAAATAACAAACAAGAAACCGAAAGCGAAACATCCAAAATTCTAAATGTTGACTTAGAAATCATGTTCAAGGAGTTACTCCAAGCAGCCAAGAATATTGGATCAGAAATGAACGTATCAAAAACAGAGTTTATGACAAATGCGCAAACAGATAGGGACACAATATTCATAAAAAACCATACAAGTGAAAAAAGTAAACTCCTACAAGTATCTAGGCCAGGAAATAACACTTGGCAAAGTAAATCAAGAGCTTGAAATTTATAGGAGAATACGACTGGAATGGGAGGCGTATGGTAAAAGGCGCCATATATTCCGGACCAAGTTATCCTTGAAGCTGGAAACTAAAGTCTACAACGAATATATTCTGCCAGTAGTTGCCTATGGAAGCGAAACATGGACGCTCACAAAGAAAATCCTAAATAAGCTGCAAGTACATCAGAAAGCAATCGAAAGGAGAATGATAGGTATTACACTAAGGGACCACAAGACCAACGAGTGGATAAGAAACACCACAGTAGTCAGAGATATTGCACATAGAATATGCACCCTCCCAGCTACGTAACGAGAAAGACAAGCAACAACTGGAGCGGAAAAGTAACAAGATTGAGAAACTGGGGGAAACGAAGGAGCGTCGGCAGACCCAGACCTCAACAACGCTGGTACGACGACATCAAGCTAACAGCAGGACTAAACTGGTAACAGATCGCACAGAATAGAAATACCTGGCAAAATCTGAGAGAGGCCTATATGCAGAGGATAGAGAACGGCTAGGAAGAAGAAGAGAAACTATTGATCAAATTTGTGATAACATGTAGCTAAAAATAAATAGAATAATTAAGAAGATATAAAACACACATTTTAATTTCATCGCTTAATATCCCATCCATCATGTAAAAATTGCTATTCTATTCTTAGGGTTATAAAAAAAATAATTAATAATTGTGGCATTCTAGGAACCATTCTCGGTTTCATAGCTGGTAGCAGCTTAACATGGACTTCCCCTGAAATAACCTACCTTAATCAAACGGACACGGGACCCTTCGATGGTACGCTTACCAGCAGCGATGGTTCTTGGATAGGCGGCGTACTTTCAATTGGTGCAGCAGTAGGTCCGTTTCTCTATGGATATTTGGCTTCACTTATAGGCCTTAAGTACACTATTTTGGCTTCGACGGTACCTTTTGCAGTGAGTTCTGTAATAAGTGCCTTCGCAAATACGGTAGGTAATAACATGATTGAAATTATTATCTTCACTTTTGACCTTTAGTTTGTTCCAAACACTTATTCCATCGTAACTACAAGTTCACTTGTGCATACTAATAATTTAATCAACTGTCGAGTCGAGTTTATTATTAATATTAAAGTGAAAGGTTAGCTAATATATTTGTTCGTCAACGATGATGTTGAAGCCTTGGTTCAATATTGTTAAGAGAGTGTTAATGACAGAACTTCAGGTTTCAAATCTGTCAGTTCTGTGCTCTGATTGGTTGATTTTTTTAATGTGGTCTGCAGGGAGAAAGAAAAAAACAACATCACATCAGAACTGGCTAAAATTGGGCATAAATATTCTTTGATCTGCAATACGAATATGTATTTAAGTTATCCGATTTTTTTTGCGTAACCTCATTATTTCTTGAACCCTGGAAACTAGGGAACAACATATACACATAAATTATTATTTTTCATTTTGAGAGAAACACAAAAAATCGAAAAACTGAAATATTCGGATTGTAGATAATCGATCAAAGAATAATTTAAGTATGCCCAATTTTAGCCAATTCTGATGTGATGTTTTTTTCTTGTCATTGCAGGCGAATTTAATAAATTCAACCAATCAGAGCACAGAACTGATAGATTTGGAATTTGAGGTTCTGTCAATAACGTACCCTTAAGGACGCTATTTCTCTCCCTGCAAGTTTTCTGCTCGCAAGTTTATGGCTATTATAGATTTGTAGCCGTTTAACACGTGGCAATTTTTACCCCCAATTTTTGATGTCATATTCAGAATAACCAACCGCAGAAATATTGATGAACGTCAGCTGTTTTTTAAATTAGGGAAATTTTTCCCTCCTTGCAGACCTAAATTGATAAAAAAATCATTATTTTTATTAAATATCTAAACAAAATATAAATAGATAGAATGAAGAGAGAGTCTCCATCCACTGGTCGGCACACCAAATACTGCAACCAAGAACTGTTATAAAACAGTATCAAAATTGGAGCAGTTGGACTCGTGAAGGCATACGCCACAATTACGTGAATCACTAATTTGGCTACCAATTAGAAACAAATTAGTCGGTTTAAGAAACCGAAAAATTTATTTCAATTAGGGTAACGGACCAATTAAGGCCGATAACCGCTGAAGATATTTCATCTTTGGAACCACCGAATATCTTATGATTCCTAAAGAAGTACGGACTAGAGGGGTTGCTTTGATCAGGAACCCTGAATTTAGCAGCACAAGGAGGAATATAACAGATTAACCTAGGTCGCAGAGCCACTGACACCTCCAAAATATAAATTAGATTACATTACAAGTCGGTGATTCAGTTTGAATAAGAGAATTCAAGATATTCCTTAGTATCTTGAGATAGTTTCTATCAGTAAATTATTTTCAAATCAAGTATTACTTACTTTTTCTAAATATCTTTGTGGAAGAGTGGAAGTAAATTAGATAGGTACTTTTAGAATACATTTTCCCAAGCTCGAGGACCAATTGACCTTTGATTAATAAAATTTGAATGTAAACGTGTTAAATGTCATGTCGGTTTAATCTTAACTTTTATTTTTAATTTCAGGTGGCAGAGTTTCTGGTTGCCAGGTTAATCACAGGTATTGGCGTTGGAGGCGCCTTCGCAATATTACCAATGTACATAGCAGAACTAGCACAAGATGAGCAACGAGGTGTATTAGGCACCGTTATGAATTGCTTCATTTGTTTTGGTCTGATATTTACCTACGTCTCGGGTTATTTTATTAGCAAAGTAATGGCTTTTAATTTATTACTCGCTGGTATTGCATGTTGTTTTTTCCTGTTGTTCTTTTTCATCGGTTCAGAGAGTCCGTTTTACTATGTTCAAAAAAAACAAATAGGTATGGCTAGAAAAACTTTGGCAAAGCTGCGAAATACGAGCGAAGATTCTGTTGAAAAAGAGCTGCAAGGTATTATAGAGGAAATTCAAAAAGAAGAAAAAGGAAACATCTTTCAGATCTTTAAATCGAAAGGTACTGTCAAGGCTTTTATTATAGGCGCTGGTCTAGTATTTTTCCAGCAAGCTTCTGGAATCAATGCTGTGCTATTTTTTGCGCAAGATATCTTCAAACAAGCGGGAACTTCACTTGAGCCAGGTTATTGTTCCATGATTATTGGAAGTGTTCAATTTGGAACAAGCTTCATCACTCCATTGGCTTCGAATACTTTTGGTCGCAAGTTTTTACTCATAACTTCAGGTATTGGCATGGCATTAAGTGAAAGTATTTTGGGAATTTACGGAATATTGAGAGAGAAAAACGAGGAATCTGTGAGCTCTTTAGCGTTCTTACCAATTTTGTCATTAGTATTATACATTATCACTTATAATATTGGTTTTGGACCTTTGCCTTGGGCAGTTATTGGAGAAGTTTTTCCCAGCAGTGTGAAATCTTCTGCTAGTGCTTTGTCCACTTCTATTTGTTGGATCACTAGTTTTATAATCACAAAATGGTTTGGTCAAGTGGCAGCCAGTTTGGGCCAAGGGCCATGTTTTATGGGATTTGCTCTATTTTCATTGTTAGCGGCAGCATTTACACAGTTCGTAGTATTGGAAACAAAAGGCAAATCACTTGCAGAAATTCAAGTGGATTTAAATAAATAAATCAAGTGTTTTTTTTTAAATTTTATCCACAAATTGAAGTTGTAGCACATTTTGTGATATTTTCTGGTTGAAATTTTGTTTTAATACCGATAATACTGATAACTAATAAATAAAAATTAAGATGTTGCAATAAGCATATATTAACGTAATTTATTGCATACCATTTGATGATTGCATACTTTTTAGTCAGTAATCTTAAATTATTCAATAAATTGTACACACTTCTCTTTCCTTATCTTTAGTTTTGCAACAAGCAGTCAATTTTGTGCCGTATGCATAGTTATAGCTACGTTTAAGACCGTCATTTTGAAATTAATGTTATATATTTTTCTACTGTTGCTGTGAAATACAAATGTATCTATTTATTTATGTTTTAATAAATTTTTTAATAAAACCTTTTTTTTATTTTTTAATCTATTTATTTTCGACCTCAAAATAGTACAGCTTATTCTGGCACCGAAGCCCAACAGCAATTTTGTGAAAAATTAACAATTCAGGTCCTTTCTTTTCTATACTCTATAGAATATTATTAATAATAGTCTCCTTGTCTTCTTGTATATTCTCTTAGAGCAGGTGAGTATTTGGTTTTGTAATAGTCTTTTAGGACACGGGTTAATTTGGGCAGCCTTTCATTCTGGATATTAGTTGGAAGGCGACTGAATGAGGATTCTCCAGTGTATAGAAGCATCCAAATTCTGTACACTGGAGAATCCTGACACTTGTTGGTAGCACTATATTTATTTCTGTATGCCTCTCTGGATCTTATGTTGTAGGAGTCTAAGTTCTTGCTTCTATTTAATGTAAAATTAGTTTTAATAAGATTATTTTTCAAGTAATAAATTAAGTTCGATTGTTCGTGCTGCTTTATTTGCTTCATCTTTAAGAATGGGTGAATAAGAGTGACTTCCTCTAATACTATGCGTTGTCTAATTTTACGTTTATTTTACAGGGGTTCTTGCCATTTTGCTTTACAATCATATAGACCGTCTTTTCTGTATCTATAGTCAGTTTGATATGGTTCAGCTAGTTTTTATATTCCTCAAGATCCGAGTTTAGGATTCATATCTAACTAACTTATCTGTGTTATCTCCAGTACCAACTAATACTGTGTCATACTGCAAACATGTAGTAAGTAACACCAGCAAGTCTAAGACTGTGTACATATAGTAGGTATTGCAGAGGCCCCAGCACTGAAGCCTGAGCTATTCAAACTTTTGTATATTTCTCTTCACTATTCACTCCATTCACCGACGTAAACTTTCTCCTATTGCTTGAATAGGATTTTGGAAGGTTCTGGCACACGCCTCGAAATCTATTCCATACAACTTATACAACATCAGGTCTATGTCGACAGTGTCAAAAGACTTCTTAAGATCAATGAACACAACATATTTGTTTTTATTAAGTTATTCAGTGATGTAACATAACGTAAGTCAACCGTGGCGCCTATCGTGTTACTTTTTTTTTGAAGTCATACTGCCTTGTGTCATATTTGAATTCGGCTTCTATGAACTTAGTTAGTCGGCTTCCAATAATTTTTTCTAGAACCTGTTGGCACTATCTTTACAGTTTTCAACTCGTCTGGTTTTCCAAAACGTTATTTATAATATTAATCAAATTATGTTGTATGATGTTGTAGCACCTTACTAGGTCTTTTATAGTTATACCATCATATTCTCGTGCAGTGTTGTTTATTGTCGTTCTAAGTTCAAACTACGTAGGTTCAAGAAAGATAGTTTTTGATACCTACTTCTTCTTCTGGAAAAACGTTGTTTTTATCTTTATGTGTTTTTGATGCTTGCTTCAGTCCCACGTTCGGAATATATTTTTCTGAATTCATCTGCCTTGTTCTTATCATTTTCAAGGGTCTGTCCACTTTGTTTTACGATTCTATGTATTTTTGGTTTAAGCTCGTTATTTTTTTCGCATAGGTTAATCAGTTTTAGCCATGCCATGTTTTCCCACTGTTTCCTCCAGTCTATGCAAATTTTCTTTTTGTATAGGACTTTTGTAATCTTTTCTTTAGGTTGTTAGTTTTGTTTCGAAGCTTTCCATATTCTGTTTCAGTGGTTTCACTTCCAACTTTTTTTCATCTAATATAAAGCTTGTCTCGCTCTTTTATTTTTTTAATGTACTCATTTGCAATAGTTTTGTCCTTTTATTTTAATTTCATGCTCTTTTGTACATTGTTTTTTAGTTCTTTTTATTATTTCAATCAATGTTTTGAAGGATTTGACTTCATCTTGGTTTATTTAATTTTGTGAAGTAGTTAGCCATAATTCAGTATTTATATATATATTTTTTTATGTTTTCTTTCTTCTTCTTTATTTATTTATTTATTAACGTATCGACATTTACAAGTTAACTAAAACTAACTAACCTAAAACGGCCCTTTTTGCACAACTCTTAAATTTTTTATGGGAAACATTAAAGAATTCTAGTGACTCACAAAACTTATTCACATTCGCTGATACTCTGTTAACAGGACTATACAATAAGTACCACGAATTGCAAATTGGTATGTGCATCAAGGTCTACCTACGTGTTGGATATCCAGGTATACGAAATCGAAAAGTTACCCGACATTCTGGGCTGCGTTCAAAAACGGCTAAAGCCGAGCCAAAATTGGCATATTGCGTTCAAGTTCGGCACCAGCGTGCCAAAAACGGTTGGCTTTACACGTTCCAAATCGGCCGCGGTAAAGTAACTTTTGGAGGCTCTTTCAACTAAGTCTAGAAATGGTTATACGAATTTTGATTGGATGAGACCAAATTCAATATGGCGAGGCGGCCAGCAAGTTAGTTTTGAATATGTGTTTTCATGCATATTTCAATTATTTTGTTTGTTTGCAGCTTTGATTTTCATTATTCAATAAAATGTTCGTTAAATAAGTACGTAAACTATTAAGTCGAGCAGAAACTAGATATTTTTTGTGTTTTTTGGTCCATGTATGGTCGCCACGCCATCTTGAATGTTACGTGGTTTGGATTGCCTAATTGACAAACGGTATTTGGCGTTCCAGAAAATTCACACCAGACTTGGCATCGCCGGTAGAAGGGGAATAGTAGGTTTTGGCATTAGCATTGCCGTCTTTGAACGCACTCCTGGACTCTTGATATAGTGGTTCAGAACATTAAATGCAAAGCATATGTCATAGTATTCTCTTCTGCGAACAAGAGATGCTAAGTCTAGGTATAACATAGTCTGATCATTATCAAGTTCAATACCATTGCAAAAAAGTTTATATTTAGCATATTTTATAAATTTAAGTTGAACATTTTCAAGTCTGTTTATATGAACCTGATAATATGGCGACCAAATTATGTTTGAAAATTCCAGGATGGATCGAACCAGCGAAGTATACAACACCTTTACAGCGAACACACTCCTAAAGTCCTTACTGGTTCTTTTGATAAAACCCAATATTCTATTAGCCCTACCTATTATATACTCAAAGTGCTCGAGAAACGTAAGTTTGGTGTCCAAGTAAACGCCAAGGTCCTTAACAACAAACACCCCAGTAAGAGCAACGTTATTTATGGAATATTCCACAGGTATAATATTCATCAGGCGGGTGAAGCGCATAAAGCAGCATTTGTCGATATTAAGTGACATGTCGTTGAGCTTATACCAGTGGCGGCTCGTGGTATAACATATTGGGGGTGCACATAATTTGTAATTCATAATAAATGCCGAAAGGGGGATGCCCGACGCAGGCGCCGCCGGAGGCGCGAAATTTTTCGGGGTGCCACGCCACGCCCAGAAGTGTTTATTTTAGGCCTTTAAAAAAATAATTTATTGTAAGTGATCGTATGAGTTATGTGATGTGTTTACCTACCAATAATTAAAAATATTGTTAAGGGATTTCATATCTACCCTACCAAACAACCAACTAAGCTCAATTTAATACTTTTTTCGGTCTATCAAATCGTGGAAATTGAAGGATCTTATATCAATAAACTAGAAATTAAGTAACAAAGTAATTTACCTCGCTGAGTACATCGTCCTGGTCTAACAATTGTTTTTATACATAAATGTATTATAGTTTTCAATCTCACAATTCTCACAGACACGTTTTGTATTGAAAGATAAGAGTAAGATGTGATTTTGAGTTTTGATGTTTTTTAATTTTTTCGGATAAATGTACTAAATCTTTAACGCCGGATTTTGTCCATTCTGATGCTTCATCGCTTCCAAATAACAAACAGGGAAAACAGTAAAGACTATTACTAACATCACAACCGCACAACCAGTCAGTTTTTTCGTAAGTTTCCATTTTAAAAGTTCGTTTATAATCACGACTTTTGCCTTTTGTTATGTTGGTGATTATTAAATTTGGCTTTGGACGGCCGACACATTTGATTTGGATTTTTTCCTCCAAAGAAAGCGAAGAAAATTTAATTGTTTTTACATATTGCACGCTAAGGCTATCGGGGTTCAAAAATCCCGCCATTCTACACACAGTTTTCAGTTAAATCGCGCTCGAAATCGAAATAAATATAAAACAAGCGCTTCCGATCCCAAAGTGCACTGACGACATGTGCACACCAGCCAGCTTAAAACATCGAACGTCGCTAGACCTTCGCGGGGAACAAAGAGTGCGGGGGGGCATAGTTCCACCAATTGGATTTAATATTGAAATGTGCAGTGAACGGGGCGATCAGGCTACGCGGTGGACGCTGTGATTCCAGCGTTGCCGGTTGCGTTTGTTTTGCTGGCGCATTTGGCCACTAATTTTTTAAATTAATACTTTACAGGTAGAATGTTAAAATTTGAAGAATGATAAAATTAAATTTAAAGTTGTTTGATATTAATTTGGGAGTGCACGTGCACATGTGCTCTTATGGAGGAACCGCCACTGGCTTATACCAATCGTATACAACGTCCAGATCATTTTGCAGTAGAAGAATATCACGAGTTGATGATACTTTCCGAAATATCTTTAGATCATCCGCAAACATTAGAAAATTGGAGGAAAGTAGACTGCCCAGGTCATTGATGAATAAACTGAACAAGAAAGGACCCAAATGAGATCCCTGAGGAACCCCAGATGTGACATCGAACTTATCCGAGAGATAACCATCAATTCTCACCTGCTGAATCCTTCCTGACAAATAAGACTCCAACCAAGAGATCAAAGTACCCGCAATGCCATAACCGGACAACTTTGAGAGTAGAAGAGTATGATTGACTTTGACAAAGGCCTTACTAAAGTCAGTATATATAGTATGTATCTGACAACCGTTTTCGAATGAACTATTGATAAAGTTAGTGAATAGAAACAAGTTGGTATCAACGGAGCGGCCGGAGGTGAATCCATGTTGCTGATTTACTATGATTTGATGGAAGGCAACCGACAGAACTTTTTCAATACAGTGCTCAAATAGCTTGGGTATTGCTGAGAGGATACTAAT